CAATAATTTAGTTTGATGGCTGCATTTAGTGATGATGTAAATGAAGATAAAAAATGAGAGAGGATAGGTATAAAATAGTTTCTTTTGAAGATGGTGATTGTGGTAATTAAAAAATGTTTCTAGTAGTAAAGTTGTTCTTCATATATTTGTGTTTTCTATTCATGTACATGTATTATACATGCACATACAATAATGGTTGGTCTATCTCCTTGTATATGTAATTGTATTGGTATAAAAAATACTACCTCACATCCATCAAAGTATACAATCCGGATGAAAAGAACAAAATTTACATTTTTGTCCACATGTTCTTGTTCTGAATGTCCTATTTCTTGATTCTTTTGCAGGAGAAGTGTGACAAGTATTGGCCAATCAACTCTGATCCAACCGTCTTTGGCAAGGTGATCGTCACCAAGCTAGCAGAACACACCCATGATACCTGGGCTGTCAGGGACTTCAGACTCAAAGTGGTGCGTTTTTCCGATCAAATCGTATCTTCACATATCTATCTGAATGATTAAGAAATATATACAGAATGGTTTCGGCAAAGAACTGTGAAGTGTTAGTTGTGTATCCCAATCAAAAGCAGCTTTGTTATTTCAGAGGTGGGACGGCTCGGTGATAGAGCAGTGGTCTTTTAAAAGGGGGTCCCGGTCGATGTGCTAGTGCCCTTTGGTAAGGCATTAATCCTCATTACCAAGTCCCTTTAAAGCTGTTGGTCCCTTGGTTGCTTACTTACAAGCATGCATACACATGCATTCTTAGCAGGTTAAACAGACAAGCAAACAATCAGATATTTGATTGAAATCTGTTTGAAAATATTTATCTTCTGACCCGCACATTTTATTTCTTTTCCCATGTCATGTATCAGTAGTAGGTATTGCATGTGGTACAGTTGAAAGAATTAAGAACCCACTGGACATTTGATAAAATGTGGTGTTTAGTGCAGACCCAGTGGTATATGACATGTGAGTCTATACTTTCCAGCCAGATATACAGTAAGAGAAGGCTTCAAGGCTTGTTCAGATATGATGCCGCCAAACAGCAGTATTTTATTAAAGATGACGTTAAAATGTATTGCACTTCAAATTTCTGTATCTTATAAGCAGAGCTCAGTGATTACGTGCAAGTCCTTTGTTGTGCGCAGGTGCCGTTCACTTTCATGTTTAAAAAACGCTGCAGCTTTTTCTAGGCAGTTACCGTGCCATATCTGAACAAGCCTTTATTTTTACAAAGAATAAGTTTGGTGTGCCCCTTCCCTACATAAAAGACTAGAAAATCATCACATAATTATCACTCCTAAATGACAATTGGAAATTGGGATCCTCTCTATGATGATGATGATTCACAGCATTTATATTGCGCCATATATATTTTAAAAATACATTCAAATTAAGGCATGAGCTCCTTCAATAAAGTTAGCATTTAAATGTCTGAAGGAAGATGTGAGTCTTGAGTGAAGCTTATGTGGATCTAACACACCTATAAAGCTAATCAATATAACACCTTGCTTTACTCTATGACAGGGAAGTGAAGAACGTCTGATACGTCAGTATCACTTCATCTCCTGGCCGACACATAGCACACCCAGGGTTAGCAGACCTACACTGAACTTTGTGAAGAACATCAGAGAGGAGCTAGAGTCACCCAAGCTCAGCGGACCCCTTGTTGTCCACTGCGGGTAAGTCTAGAGCATAAGGTGTAGGAGTAAGTGGATAAAGGGGTGGAAGTTTTGTGACATCAGGGGGGTGTTTCACAAAGACTAAGATCGACTTTAAGTTAGACTTAACTATGGTAGGCCATTCATGCCACTAGTTCTTTTAAAAATTCCTGGCATTGGTTTCTCAAGGGATGTACAAATCTACAGAATTTAGATTCGTTGATAGTTCATTATTGAAGGAAAAAACATTATCTAAAGATCATAAGTTAGAGAGCAATGGTGATAGCAACCAGTGGCATGAATGGCCTGTCATAGTTAAGTCCAACTTAAAGTCGATCTTACTCGTTTAGTAGTTGTTTGATTCATGTGATCACCAAAGTCTTAGATAACTAGGATTGGATGCTTAGCTTCACCAATGCCCAAGACGATAATGATAATAGTTATACATGTAAATGGTATATACTATTTATAAAGCATTTTAAAGAAAGTTTTCAAGATAGATGTCAGCCAACTCAAACAAGGAGGAGGCTAATGCTCGATTCTTTGGAAAAGATTATTTGCATGATTACTTTATCTTATAAACTATACATACATTCTGTACAAGTGTATGTGGTATTATACTAGTTTGTCAGTAATCAATTTGCATTGCACTTGGCAAGAGTATGATATACAGGGTTTTAAGAATATCCTATAGTGATCTCATACTACATGTTCATTTATTGTACTTCTTTTGTAATGTTCAAGGCTTCATGTATATTACATGATTTAATTGAGGAGGCATTTTATTTCAAGTGGCATAATAATAATAATAATATTCCGTGTTTATATAGCGCTCAATACATCGATACAACAATGTGCCTAAGCGCATTACAGATATATTATTACCCCGGTCATCGGATTCAGGCTTACCCGCACACAATGTATGCACATTTTCCACTCCCTGGGGAGCATTCCAGCCAGTCGCCATTTGAGACATTGCGTAGCCTAATATCCCTTTGATTGTTTGTTTTACAGAGCTGGTATCGGCCGAACCGGTGTCTTCATTGCTCTGGATATCCTCTTACAGGAGCTGAAAGCAGATGAGAGGACAGTCGATGTGTTTGCTGTCGTTGCTAAGATGCGCAGGGAGAGATGCTCACTTGTTCAATCACTGGTAAGTCACACACAATCATAACTAGGAAACGCAGTCATTTTATTGAAGTCATTTTGTACATGTTGTGGTTGATTATATTATAGATGAATGCAGAACAGTGCAGTAAATTACATATAATACAATTAAATAATTATACAGACATTTATCATGTGAAAAATTTCCACATAAAGATGGTGTTCAAGTCACTTACAATATGAACGTTCAATGGTTACAGTGTTCTGTGGATGCTAGTTGTTTTGTTTATGATAATTGAATGTTTGGGGAAATCTTTTTTTATATGATTTAATCAAAAGTAAATTTATTTAAAACTCATTTCTTAATGAAAGGTCTTTTGAAGTGTTAAAGACTTGTAGTTTGCATGATATGTGAATAGGAATGAGGAGTGGAGTATTAACATGACAAATTAAATGAACAGTGATGTTGATTTTTCAAATATTGTTTGTCTCTTTGCAGGTCCAGTACATCTTCTTGCATCGTGCACTAGCAGACTTCCTTCAGGGACAGGGTCATGGCGTTGAGGTCAGCAGCATTGAGAGATCAGATGGTATGTCAAAACCTTCAAATTTCCCTTTTAAATGTTTCCCTTTTAAAGATAAAGAAAATGTATTAAAAAGAAGTCAATGAAAAGAAAAATTAATGTAATGAAGTTCCTTGTGAAGGTTCTCCTGGACTGGACTGATGTAATTACAGCAATCCTCTCATTCTATTCTTATACTTAACTAAGGGGGCTTGGGCTCATGCCTCGTCCATCATTTTTGGCAGCAAATTTAAACTTATTTCATAAGTCTTCATATCAAACATTTGAGAATTAAAGGTAATACAAAGTTTTGGTCATATTTCAACAGGATTGGATTATGAAATTTAAAATTTGCATTACTATTGTGAAACCTAGTGTTACAATTTAAGCAACTTCAACAAATTTGGGCTCTAAATTGCTAAGGATTTCAAGAAATTAAAATATCAAATTTATCAGTGATTCCGATAAATTTCAAATAGCGCCTACGGCCGTACAATGGTAGCTGCGACCATGAAAATTTCGGAATTGCATTTCTGATACCGGTATATATTTTCCAAACGGGGAATAGAAAATCGGTCAATTTTAGTCCAGAAACATTGTTTTGAAGCTAAAGTAATATGAATCTTGAGAGGGAGCTATACAACATAACAAGTTCATTATTCACAATTTCATCACTTTAGACTCAATTTCAACCGCAACAACGATCATCGAATATTGTAGGATCGCATATGTACTGTATTACCTTTAAAAATACATTTTTATTCAAAGGTAATGAGAAATTATTTATTACCGCTGCCAATTTGAAAATTGTATCAACCAACATGTTATTGACAAACTTTCCTTTCTTTTTTTCTTTCTTTCATTCTTCAGCCGGGAGTATTCAATCCGATGAAATAGAGCAGATGAGTAATACATCTCTTTGAACACATCGCACAAACATGGAAACAAGATGAGATGTGCCTCATTTGCCAACAGTAACTAAATCTGTAATGCTATGATGTATTCAATACTTTTTAAAATTTGTTATTACTGTTTAGATGTAAATGATGTTGAAACCTTTTTAATTGAAAAAAAACAATAGGTTACTCTGTCAATATCATCATCTAGATTCGATTAATTTTCTCTCACTCTCTCTCCCTCTCTTTCTCTCTATTAAAAAGGCCCTTGCCAGTATATTTATGTCTTTGGATTTGTACTTGTAGTTGTATTAAGCATTACAAAATAAAATATCATTAAATTCAAATGATTTGATACCTTTGTGTTTGTTATATTGTAAGAAAACAGATAATAGTAATACCGAAACCACTTAAGTCGGGTTATGCAACTTTCAATTATTAAGGGATGTTACTCAATTTTGATCTCAGAAATGAAATGGGCAAGAAAAGTATAAAAATTCAAACGATGGGTCGATTTTGTCTGAGCTGATTTCATCTGTATATAATAGAAACCCTGCAAATACTTTCTTCACTGATGGAATTAATAATTACAAATTGTGATGTGGAGTGATATATTATTCAGAAACCTGCTTACGGTTCTGTTTCTGCTATGTGAATTGTTAACCCTGGCAAGTCTTTCATGAATACTGATTTCATTCAGTTTCAGTGATTATCATGTGTAACTCACATTGCATGTGTTGAGTCTTTCATAGAACTATTTCATATATTATACGTATACAAGAAGTATGGATTTGTATTGAAATAGAGTCATTATAACTTCATAGATTTGTGTATATTTTATGTTTATGTAAATCAAATTATTTGTAGAATTCAAATTGTGAGATAAACAACTCAGGGTATGTGGGCTTTTCTTATTTTGTTGTTCCTTTTTATTAAGTAGTATGCCTCATTTAAAGTGTAGTTTGTGCATTAAGTCTATTTACCTAATTATGAGTATTCTATTGAACTATTTACTCGCATATACTAAGTTTATTTACATTTCTTCTATATTGTTTTAATTTTTGCATGTAGAGATCAAAACAACTTTTGTATTTAAAAAAGAAGTCGCTATATTTTGGTACTCTAAAATCGGATACTGTTTAATTCTTTATCCCGTGAACAACATAGCCAATGAAAAGTTCCCCTTTGTGTTGTTTTAGACATTCCTGGATCTACCCTTAGTTCAGTGATGCAGTTTTAAATGTATTGTTACCAACTGAAATCATATTTTTCTTTGAGTTCTACCCTTTGGAGTAGATATATATTTTACTTTCCTCTCCTGCTTCTTCATAGATTTTTTTATTGTAACTGAATAATAATCGGTTAAAATCATCTTAAGATTTATATTTCCAAACCAATCAGAAAAAAACTTTTTTTATAATGAAAACTTTGTGATGAATGTTGAAGAATTGAATTCTTAAAAATGAATTGATATCACATCAGATGCTGGAAATGTATGTTTGATTAAATGATATGGGTTTGTCTTTTCAAAATTATGATATATATGGAGGAAAACAAATAACGTCATATCTATGTTGTCCTGTAAGAATTAAGAATACTGATTTACTTGTTGAAAATCATCATATTTATAAGTGAAGCAAAGTGTCTTTCAAATGTATATTTTTATAAGTTAGCAAGCATTGGAAATTAAATTATGTCTTTCAAACATTCTTTCTTGTAGGTGGTGAAGGGGCTTTTTACGCATTTTATTAAAAATATAAATATATATATATATATTTTTCATACATTTGTCACGATGAATATGATTATGATGACTACCGATTAACGGTAGTCCATACTACTATGTGATTCTAGAGGTGTTGTGGTCTAGTCCCTGCACTGTGGACCGCGAGATATAGGGTTCAAATCCCTGCTACAGCACTAATGTCCTATTGCAAGACCTTTACCTACATCCGCCTCAACTGAGCAGAGGTAAATGGGTACTCGGTAGGAAGAAATTCCTTGAATGCTTTAGGGTCTTAGCATTGCTTCTCAACTAAAGCCATGATAATAATATAATACTCTTTATTAATAAAAATGAGGGGATATTTGTTTTGTTATTATTATTATTATTACTACCTCTTGTGTACTAGTGACAAACCACATCTCATTATATTGTATCGCGACATTTCTTGTATCAAATGTTACCCAAGATAAGAAGTGATTATGCAAATTCCTTCATGAATTATATATTCCTAATCAGAGGTAGAAATCGGCATAAGGTAAACATAATCATGCCTCTCTCTTATACGCAATCGGTACAATATGTCCATATTCAATGTATAATTTCATAAGCTGAAATGTTATGAAAAGCATATGTATGTAATTGACATATGTATTATTTCAAATAGAAATGTACACTTGTGATTTGATATCAAAAATAATTTGTTGATGCTGGGTGAGGGATAATTATTTTATGAATAAATTATGGTTTACAATGGAAATGACGTATGTGAGTCTTATTCAAATTGTAGCATAAATTATATTGTTTTTCTCTTTCACTTCCTGTCTATTCATCTTCTATCCTCTTTAAAAAAAAAATCTTTGTTCTCAAAACTTCTTTTGGGCTTCATCATCTTTTATGCAATAGTTTCACACCATTTCATAAGTTTATATTGGTATAACTTGAAACTGATATTTTACAAAAACCACTCCAGACAAACCTTGAAATGAGACAAAAGGTGCGAGAGTTTCTCTTTAATACTTCAAGTACTTGAGTATTTCATTTATGAAATAGGAATGTCAAGCTACTATTATCAACCACTCAATGATTGACAGAAAATAAGTGTTGTGACCGACTGCTAACCTTTCCAACTTTGTTTCAATAATGAAATCATGAAATTTCGGTTTCCAATTTATCTGTGTAATAATTTTGCTTTGAAGCTCAAAAGAAACTTCCTTAGTTGAAACATACTTAACAGTACACGAGACTCCCACTCAGGCGCGTACGCAGGGGGGGGGTGAGCCCCCCCCCCCCCTTGGTATTTTTTTTTTTATTATAAAAAAAAAAAAAAAAAAAAAATCATGCCCATGGCTGACCTAAAAAATTGTTAAACCCCCCCCCTTTAAAAAATCCTGCATACGCTACTGCTCCCACTGTAGCATCCATACACCATACTGATGTACATGTGTTGTTGTGCATGCCTGACATATCACCACAAGGTAGAGCTATTATTACAGTCGGGTATCCACAGGAAGTGTTAAAAAAATATGAAATAAAGCGATAATCTGAGTTTATCTTGCTCTTCTTCACATTGAGGCTGATGTAGGCTAAATCTTTTACACATCCGTTACGCAGCAATTATATTGATCTAAGATTCGAAAAACGGATTCTACGGGAATCTCTTTTTCTCACTTTTGCACATGACACTGATCCTAATAAACAAAGATATACTCCATCCTAGAGATTATTTGCCAGCACCATCAGGCAAGCTAGAATTCGTCATTTTCAGACTTTCACAGATTTAAATTGAAAATCGTGGAATTTTCCCCACTTCCTTTCTTTTTCTTTTGTTTGTTTCGAAATGGATTGAGCAAACCATTACGAATTTAAAATCGTACAATATGATGTATACAACATCATATCAAAAAGTAAACATCCGTGCCATTTATATGCAAGAAGTTGTATGCTTCTTCCTAATATTACAACTGTTTGCTTTCCAGCATCATGATTCACTTATCTACATTCCATTTGAAGTAAATGTGCTTTTGACGAGCTTTGTTTTTTTTATACTGGCGTAAAGATCTTTAAGATCCGAACCAATTACACTTTCATCGCTACTCATTGTACTCTCATCGTATCCATGTAAAGTCTCTTCCTGGTGTCCTCTTGTATCTTCATTGTTCTCAAATTGAACATTGGTTACAGGAACTTGATGTTTATGCGTCAGGATGTTTGCCATTTTGCCGTGTCGAGGCGGTATTTTAGGTAACGGTCTGCCTGAAACATTTGGTAGCATAAACCTTGATGATAACCCAGAGAATCCTTTGAAATAAGTGTGAGTTACTTTCTTCTCGACAGCTTGGCCCATTTGTGATATTTCTTGTTCCCTGGTTAAAGTTCCGAATTGAATCCTTGGATGACAGTCATCGGGTCCGGTTGTCGCAGTGTCAATCGAAGTCGAGTTGTCGTCATGTCTGCGTCGAGGCGGTATGGGAGGCAACGATCTGTCTGAGCCATTTGGAAGCTTAACGCTTGAGCTTAACCTGTTGAAACCTTTGAAATAAATGTGAGATACTTTTCTCTCAACAACTTGGTTCATTTCCGATCCATCCACCTGTTCTATAGACAGTGTTTCTGGTTGATTCCTTGGCTTGCCGCCTCTGCGTTCGGCTTCAAATTGTCCATCATCACTCATAGGTTGTGGTGAATTCCTTTGTGCTACCCGAATTACTGGAACAGATTCACTATCAGTTGAAGAAATTGAACAACTTATATCCATAGGATCCACATACTCTGAGTCCTGGAGGACAGAACTACCTGTGCTTCCCCTAGTAACTCTCTCTTGAATACTAGTCGATCTGAAACTACTTGCAGGACTCCAGCTTGAGCCATTCCAGAACGCGTTTCCTATCATTCTCCATGAGATTCGTCTGCTTACATTGTCACCTTCACTTTGGCTGGATGTTCCGTCGCTAAAAACATCGACCACACATTTGTCCTGGGAAATTTTCGGATGGAAGGAAGTCAGTTGGCTTCCGGAGGGCGTGTTCCTCAAAGCTGGAAGGCTATCCTTGCCAAAGTGAGAACCGAAAAGAGTACTGATCCTGTATGATCTACACGAGCTTAACGATGAAGTATAATCGCTGTATAGTGATGAACTGAATCTGGAGCGACCAGAAGAAAAGGACCCCGAGGAGGACATTCCAAATGACCAACTACCGCTTGATGTTTCGCCAGTGCGACGAAGAGAATTATAAAACCGACCAAGAGAATTCGTCTGAAAAGGAAAGAGATGAACAAATGATTCATAAATAAAATTTGAATCTTCAAGCGTATAGAAGCAACAATCAACTTGTACAATATAAAAAGCAATTATATTCATTAATTTCCACAGTGAGCTTAAGATTCTATGTATGAGATTACCTAAAGCAAAACGTTTAAAGAATTGGAACTGATGATATGAAGAACAACTAGAATTAGGAGTTCAATTAGAGTTACAGGTAAATATACATTCATATCCGAAAGATAGTATTTACACCACATCCGAGGGGGGGGGGGGGGTTGTCGCATGGAAAAGAAGGTAAGCATGATCACTATATTTCATAATTGTGAATTTCTGACTAGGAAGTATGTGGTCGTGAAATGATATAATAACCCTGAAAATGCGTGGCTCTTCTGTTATCATACCAATATTGTTCTTCTATCGGCTCGATATTTCAATGCGTTTTGAGGGGGGGGGGGTGGCGATAATACTTTATTAAACGGTATGACCAAACATAACTTTTACTGCAAGGGGTTCACAGTTGCTCCATTCATTTTTATTTACCAGTTGTAGTGATAACTTTTCGAATTGGTTTAGCCTTTTAATCATTGATAGGGAGGGGGTTATTCAACTTTTCTATAGGCAGATGATGTGGTCATGATTAAATTAAATTAAATGTCATAACTTACCGTTGATCCTGATCGGGGTATCGGAGCAGTTCGGGTGTTGATTTTGGACACAACGCATCGAACTGCGAAGATGATAATAAGAACCAATACTGCGATAGCGATGATATGTATACCTGTGATAAGCAGGTAGGATTTCGTCTCATTTCTCTGGCCTTCATTCCTGAATTCAATCGTCTGAAGTGGCGAGGAAAGGGTTGTTCGTGTTTGGTTTTCAGTAGGTGGTGTAGTTGGTGTAGATGGTATATCTGTATTAGAAAAGGAGTAATACAATAATGAGATAGTTAAAACAGTGCCTTATTTTTCCAATAGGATGCAGCTTTCCAGTTAGTAACCGTCGATTTAGTTTTAGGGCCATGTTGATCTTTTACATTCTGGATGACTATATTTTATATTATAAATCAATAGAAACGTTCTGGCCCTGGCCTGATTCTTCAATAAGTTCGCACAATGTTTCACGCCACTGAAGGTGATTATGTGTGTTTGTTTGTTCGCTTGGGGTCTTATCCAAACGTTCAAATACATTAATATAACAATAATAAATGCATGTTGAACAAAGATCTTAACAAACCTTTGATTATTGTTCCATCGCTCAGATTGGCAACTAGTTGTAGAGTGAAACCTGGTTTCTCATTTGAGTAGTCAGATGTGAAGATGATGGTGAGGTTATTCCCCTTGGTCCGGTACGGGTATTGAGATAGAAACCATGGTTTCCTTTGCGCCGTGAAGTTGGACCAATCCGATCTACTGAACGGAGCTCTGTCATCCTCTCTCATGAAGACGAAGTCGTGTCCCTCTTCCAACCAAAGACTCGTCATCATCGTCGTGATCACACACGGAAGCTCGGTCGTCACCCTCCAAAGACGGTAACCGTTGTTACTGTAGTTGACATTTTGTGTGGGATAGGTTAGATCGTAAGGTGATGCAGTCGGGCATGGCAGATTTATATCAACTGTATAAAAGGAATAACGAAAGTCAAAAGAAAAAATAAAGCAAAACATATCAGTAAGATTATTAGTTATTTAAAATTAAGTTTTACATGCTGAAGGACAATGAAGACAAGAAAAGATGTGAAACATTTGGCAAAACTTTTTAAAAAGCCATTTTCTACCTCGTGTTTGCAAAATGTTTTTTTCACTCCTTTTAAACAAAATGGATAACATTTTGTAACAGTATTGAACGAAAATTGAACATATCCTAGCCTAAACAGTTATACCAATATTCTTTTCTGACAATAATCTGTTCTTTTACAATACATGCTGAGGCAAATAATTATATAGACAATTTTTCTTTCAGATCAAATTCCTAGGTGAGTAAAACACAAACAGATCTATACTATACAATAGTTTGGGCAAGTTTGAACTTGTTTAATTCAATATTTACTTCTTGATATATACCTTTTCTCTTCTCAGCCTGGATTGAAAATGTGATGTTCGGCGGACGGTGTGAAATGATATCCTTTTTTATGTTTAGCTTCATCCACATACCCCTACTCGATGATATGACGTCATTAGGGAGATTCCCACCACTAATATGATTCAAGAAAGACAGAGATGGAGGGAATGGGAAGGGAGATCGAGAGAGAGAGGGGGGTGAGAGAGTGGGAGAGAGAGAGAGATGGACACCGAAATAAAGAGAGAGAGAGGGGGAGAGAGAGAGAGAGAGAGAGAGGGGGGAGAGGGAGGGGAGGGGAGAGAGAGGGAGAGAGGGAGAGAGAGAGAGAGAGAGAGAGAGAGAGAGAGAGAGAGAGAGAGAGAGAGGGGGAGGGAGGGGAGAGAGACGTGATAGAAAGGGGAAATAATAAAATGGTGATTAACACGTTATATAACTTTAGGCTAAGGATTAGAACTTGAAAGAATAATATCAACCAACCAAAAAGTGTTTTAGCATACTTATTTGTGCCTACCCCGCTCCCTCTCCCCTCCCCCCCCCCCCCCCCCCCCTCTCTCTCTCTCTCTATCTATTCTGTCTCTGTATCACTCTATCTAAGTCATTTGTGACTATGAGAGATGGGGCAGAAATAAATAGAGAAGGAAGGGAGAACAGAGAAGAGAGAAGGCGACACATAGAGAGAGAGAGAGAGAGAGAGAGATAAGCAGAGACAGAGAAAGAACGAGACAGAGACAGAGAGACAGATATTATAGACAGGATGGTTGGCAATATTAGACAAAATGCGACAAGTTATACCTGAATGTTGCCAACAGACTGTTTGTTGAGACCTCAGCGTCATCTCCTCGATCACCGATCTCAAGAAAGTCATATCCTCTGGTCAGGTTGAAATGTGAGAATTTAATCCTCACTTGGTAGTCGTCATCAGGGGCAAATATCATCCAACAGTAATCATAGTCTACATCATGGCTTACATTGATGAGTCCTTGAGTTTCATTCAAATTGTAATATGCTGGTCTACCTGTAAAAGAATAAACATGTCAAACCTCTTAGCAAATTGATATTAACATATCTATTTTCTAATAACAAATCTAAAAATATACATGATTCATGTTTCAGGGACGTTGCGGTCACTGGAGAAGATCTCAGGCAATATTGGCAGAGTTGACATAAGTTAGTACATGAATATGAATAGTCGATAGCCACATGGCTCAGGGAAATGGTTTCATGAGCTCTTTATTACATCATCAATTACCATCATCAATCACTGCACATTAAACCAGTCTTATTGTGTTTGTGAAACCATAACCAAGCTATAGAAACGAAATGACAAATTAGAGTCAGTACTTGTATTGCAAACTGTTACATCTGTATAGGGCCTGTATAATATTATAAATATTATTCTAGTATCAAAATATTAGCAGACAGAATGAGAGCGAGTGAGGACCAATTTTTCACTCCCTCTGGGATGTATATTTAACAATGATAATAATAATAATAAAAGGTTCTTATATAGTGCTCAAGTCTGCCAGACTTAACACTCCTGGCACTCCACAATTCTTTAGCATGACTGCCAATGTGGCGCTCTAACATTTCAAGGAATAAATTCCTGCCAGGTACCCATTTATATCACCTGGGTCGAGTGTGGCAAATGTAGATTAATGTCTTGCCAAAGGAAATTAGTGCCGCGACGGGACCATTATTGGGTTACGGATACAATATCGCAATTTGTTGTATAGATACAGACCCTTTACGTGCAATTTTAGCGCTTCAATGTGATGTAATCATTCAAATTACGAATTGCTTATCTTTTGCCCGAATATTTTATTATTGACAGTTTCTAAACCTAGTACGCCTATGGACTCAACTGACAGTGATCGTCAGATATTTCACCTTCTCAAATACTTCAACATCAAGAGCATTTTTGTTGAATTATTCAAATTATTTCTAACCAGAAATTTTACTTTTTCAATGGAACATGAAAATGTTATATACCGAATATGCTATAAATCTGGAAGATAATGTGTAGAATGCTTACCTCTACAATGTTGTTCCTCATGTTCGTTAGCGTTCACATTGCCGCAGTAAGCAAGCAAACTGAACAAGATGAAGATTGTTCTGTATCGCATCGTAATTAACCTTGCACTCGTCTTCAATGTTCTGGTGAATCAATCAGTTCCTATACATACAGTCCCCTTGTGCTCCAGAAGAAACTTTAAATCTCGGATTAGTAATAGACTATATCACTTGAATCACTTGATTAAACTAGAATTATTTGGCCGCCGACGGAAATAAAGATGAGCGGGATCGGTATGATATTTTAGGAAAATAATGATTATTAACAGAAAACCAACACAAGATGACGCATTTAACTCATATGTATACAGTGCATTGCTCTATTAAGGAAGCTTTTGCTTTGTTGACTTTTAACACGCCGGCATCATAAATTTCACTGATCGACTGTTTCACGAGTATTTCCCTTCTGTTTTTCAGCAGCATCGTTAAAGGCGTATTCGCTTTTATTCAGTTTTGGTATCGAAGTTATTGAAGGTTTGTTTCCGGCTACACATGCACGCCCCAGAAATCCCAATCCACGTTTAGATGATGACTGAGAGATAATTATATGAAGAACTTTCGAGGATTACAGAGAGGATAAAAAGTACATGTACGAACTTTCTTCACTTATGTTTTCGAAGTGGTCATCGAATGATCGATGTCCATCGCGATTTCACGTTGAACTTAAAGAGAGTATAATATTTAACTGATAAGATTACAGGATTTAAATATCAGTACCAATACTACAATTAAAAGCAAACCTTTTGCTGTTTCTTGATAATTAACGTGACGAATGATTCCGCCTCTGCACACTGGTATCAACCACTCACAGCTGTTAGCTTATGTATCATTTATAACCTTTATATACCAGGGTTTGGTGCCGTGTGCAAAGATTTGGCTACTGTACGCAAGTTCCTGTAAATCTAGATTTGTACTTTTGGAGACATTGGCATAACATGGGGTTCACGGGGGTTCCGCACCCCTCTCATTTTCAGCAGAGATATGGGTGTAAGTGATCACCTGCAAAATATGATTTTGTTTTTGTTTTTGCTCCCCCCCCCCCCCCCCCTCTTATTGATCCTCCCATGAAGAAGTGTAAAGATTTGAGTGTCCTGTCAACAATATGAAACCATTATCTATGACTGTATTCGTCATTTCGATTTGATTACTACTGGTATTACTCTAGTAGTAGTATCCTCAGTTATAAAAAGTGCTGTGAAAGTAGGTTATGCAAATATAAAAGCATTGTATGTCGTACTTGTCGTGGGGATCACACTGTCATCCCTTGGTCATTAACTCCTTCTCATTTATCCATTAATGAAGATGCTTCAGCTACATGTTTGCGAATCTTTACCAAGTTTTCTCTACATAGGTGTATTGCTTTTTCAACTGATACAAAGATTATTGTCATTTTTGTTTGTCCTCTTCACTTTTCCTGCGTCTAGAAATGAGAATGTGTTCTATGGTATAGTTCACTCATATCCGTATTGGTGAATATGAAACAATCCTGCCGCCCCGGAAACACATATTCACATAAAGCAACGGACAGGAAGATTGAAAACACTTTCACGATAACAAAATGTTATTTATAGCAACTTCCTTAACCACTTAAAATGTGTGATTTAGACACTCCGCAAGTTCAAAGTAAAAGCGAAAGTCTGTGTTGTCGATTCGATTGTGAGGTCACAATGAGCTTAATTGGAAAAATGAAACAGAAAGAATGAACATGTTGAAGGACATTTGAAACAAAGCTTATAATGAACGATGGAAATATGCCGGAAGTCAGGGGCGGCGGAGCGACTTCCAAAATGGGGGGAGGGGGGGGGGGCACCAACGAAATAGGGCAATATCTGAAAAAAAGGGCACCTTCAAAGGGAAATCTCAAAGTGAAAATATGCAATTTTTTAGACATTGGTATATACCCCTACATTGTGATTACATTATCAGGGATGATTTTAATAATTGTTTCTCTTTATACATCTTTTAAAGAGGAAAAACCCCATCCTGATGGGTTGAACTTTAAAAGCTTATTCTCATAACGGAAGACTGAAAAGTCCTTTGATAAGACAGTAACAAAATTACATCATCTATAAATGCGAGCGAGCGAGCTTTGGGGAATAATATTCTTAGTCGCCTTAAAATTGGGGCACGTTTAATGATGAGAGGAAAAGGGGACACTTATCGAAAGAGATAAGACACTTATTAGAAAAGGAAAGGAGCACGGGTCAAAGTACAAATGGTAGTTATCAGAGGTGAAAATGAGGCACTTTTTACACCTAAAAAGAGACACTCACCAGGGATGAAAAAAGGGCACTTACGGGGTTGGGATTGGGGTTGGGGGCTAGGGGGGGGGGGGTAGTGAGCTGATATAGTGAGAGGGGAGGTTTATAGCCGTTTGGTCTTCAACCAGTTCGTATACTACGCTATCGGTCTATTCCCATATGGTCTACACCCAGCCAGCCAGTCTACTATCCACATGGTCTTATAATCATTTCGTCTACTTATCCTTCGGTATAATGACCATTTAGCCTAATAGTAATTTGGTCTTATTTCCATTTAGTCTAATCTCCAATAAGTCTACTACCCATTTGGTCTATCACTCATTTAGTCATGATGCAAGTCGGTCGCCGTCGAAAGTCCCATTTTCGTCCCTATAATTATTTTCACGAAGTGACGGTAATGAGGAGAATCGCATACAATTTGCGTAACGATTTTCCTCACTACCGTCACTTCGGGATTCATATGGTCTAATAATCATCTCACATAAATCATAACAAAATCATAACAATTATTATTAGACCTTATGGATGGTAGATTAGACAAACTGGAAATTACACTAACTGGTCATTAGACTCAATGAACACTAGGCCAAATGGGTAGTAGACTCATTGGAAACTAGACCATATGAAAATTAGACCAAATGGCTATTAGCTTAAATGGTTATTAAACCAAATGATAAGTAGACAAATAGTAGACGGGATCAGTGTAGACCATATGGGAATAGACTAATTGGGTAGTAGACGAGCTGGTTATAGATCAAACGGCCATTCACCAGAGAGGACATCATTAATTGCTATAGCGCCATCTATTGATAAAAGTATGTTGTACAATCAAGCTCGTATTCCCTATATACGTTTCGACCACAGAGCTATATATTAATATATATCTCTATGGTGTCGACCCGTCATATAAATTCAGAACAATGAATATGCATACTTCATTGTTAAACAAAGTTTAAGTCGTTAAAGAAATGAATCTTAGACCTCAGGAAGTATGTCTCTGACTTTTTAACTAAATTTAAGCCCAGCGTCGGGTATGGATTTTAGTAGAATTCGGGTGTTAGTGCTTGATTATCGTTTGTTAAACCAAATTTAATTTTTAGACCAGGCTGTAAAATAAATGATAAAGAGACACACAATGCTCAAAAGTCAGTTTCACTGCGACAATGTGATGACAAGAAATCCTTGCTTACTGCACTTGAATAAAATAAAAACCTGAAACTCGATATGCGGGAACGGTATTTGCGTCGGCTTATTCTCTCGTCAGGTGCTGGTGTCTCATCATGCTGTCTAGTCTTTCTAAACTTTGGAAGTGATGAGCAAAATTTTTGAGACTGCATAAATTGCCGTGACATCAAAATGCATTCGATAAGATAACAAAACAGACAATTTCGCTGCCCATATATTATGGTTAGTTTATACATTATGCTGGGCTGCATGGTCCTATAGCGGTGTATATGGATTGTACTTTGAAACGTAAATTATCACACTGATGGACAATATACCTATGTATGTTAAAAATATATATGTTTGAAATAATATATGATATTAAAAAATTAATAAATCAAATCAAATCAATCAAATCAAAACAATTTCACGATGCTAAACTGTCAGCTTTATCTGATATAGACTGACAAAAATGATTATTATTTGTAGTTGAATTAGATAACACGATCGCTAAGACTTTAAAATCAAGCAAAATGTTATTTTAGTATCCTTTTTTTTCTTCTTCATCATCTAAAATTCAAATGTACGAACATTAAACATTACAATGACGTATTAGGTACTGCGTAATCCGAACATGGTTTCTCATATAAATGTACGTCCAGTTCAGGGACCCGTTTCACAAAGCCTTTTTTCAATGACAAATGACAAAAATCGGTGACAAATCTACTGATAACCAATCAGAAGCAAGGATTTCAGTAGATTATAACAAAAACTGTCATTTGTAACTGATGACAAGTTCTGTGAAACGCCCCCAGATCTGTTTAATGCTACTGCGTGAAGTGCCCCTAATGTTGATTTCTTAGTCTCGACTTTTTGCGTTGGTGTTGGATACAAATTATTTGTTGGTATTCTTTTCCAGAACATGTACGATATGTAAAAGTATTATTTGTTCATGTTTTGATATTGAGTGAAGTGAATTCATATTTCTAAAATCAGACCGTGTTTAGGCCTATTTACAACTTCAGATTTCTTTTTCTCTCTTCCCCCACAAGTTTCAATTTTTGATGAATTATAACATTGTCAATGCCTAAAATGTATTCTGAGAACCCCAATGGAAACAAGCCAATATTGACGGGTTACTGAGGTCCTAATTTTGTCAAAGTCGATTAACTTTGTTATGCTTTAGAATTATTAGGCCAACCCTTCAGTTGAATGGAACGGAATCAAATCAAATCAAATCAAATCAATCGATACCAAATTGGATGTTAAATATCAGGTACTGATAGAAAGGATGAGCAGTCTTGAATACTGATCTCATGGTATTGCTATAGTTGAGGATAACAGTCGCTGCATAAGGGTTGTACGAATTATAATGATGACTGGATTGGATTGGAATCATCATTATCGGATGTAGTTACACATTATTCGAATAAAAGCCGACGCCTTGAAAGGATGAATTTAACAAATAAGTATTATGAATGTTATGTCCGATGCCCAAAACTGTGTACTATAGTAACACGTGGGGCATTTTTTTTCGTGGAGGGGGGGGGGGGGGGGGGGGGGGGGGGCATTACTGGCCACCTCAATCGGATGTGCATAAGGGGGGATTTCCCTTTTCTAAATCCAAGGTTTGTTGCATGGAGGTGAGTAATATTCCAATAATAATTTGTACATTGTAAGTTTAACATAGATATTTGTTTCACTTACACGTACAATAAAGACATCGGTTATACTGTACAAAGAATATAAATAGGATTCAAATATGGATACATTTTGGTGATGAAAAAATAATCAAAAATAATGCTGATTTTCGTTTCGTTATGGGCTTGTTTCGTTTCCTTGAATTACAAAATGTACCTGTCTTTTTCATGCATATTTATAAATGAAAATTATTTACCACTATACATAGAAAATTCATATTTTAAACCGAATTGAAGTATACCGTGTAATGATCATGACTGATACTCATGTCATCTTCTATGGCTCCTGGTGACTGGTGAGACCAGTGAATGTGTTTGCACCCCGCCAGGCGCGTACGCAGGATTTTTGCAAGGGGGGGGGGGGGGGGGGTTAACATTTATAAATCGGGCCGAAAATTTCGCAACGACTCAGCCGACCGCTGAATAAGCGGGGGGGGGGGGGGGGGGGGGGGGTAAGAGGACACTTTTTTCTTATTTTGGGGGTCTCGAAATTTGAAAATTTGACATTTTGCTCCGTTGGGGGGGGGGAAGGGTAAGGCCACCTTTTTAAGGTCAGTCATGGGAATAATTTTTTTTTTCAATCCAAGGGGGGGGGGGTTAAGGGGGGTTATGGGGGGGGGGGGTTTACACACATAAAAATACCAAAGGGGGGGGGTTTAACCCCCTCCCCCCCCCCCCCCTGTGTACGCGCCTGCACCCCGCCTCCATCACGCCCCAGCCCCACCCCTTTCTGTCCCCGCCTTGAAGCCGGTTCCTTGCTCACATGCACCTGTTCAGCACCTGACAATAGACCATTTTCGTAATGTAATAATTCAATGCATAAATCTTGTTAAGTGCCATGTTAGTACGAATTATTTCATTCACCTATTACAAATAATTGAATTTCATTAGTCAGAATGTGAATCGCATACATTAATCGTTTCTAGGTAGGAAAAACATATATATAACAACACGAAATATACGCAATTCGCATTCTGACTAGGCCGGTCTATATTGAAATGCAATTACTAGTTTTCGATATGTGTAACGAGGCATTTAACAAAGGTTTGCGCATTCAATTTGATTACATTACGAAAATGGCCTATTCCATCGCTCTTCCATTTGTAACTCTTTCTTAGATTTTTCTTGGAAAACCTTGGGAAACTCTCCGATCGTTCAAAAAAATTTCTCAGAATTTGTCATACCAACTCCACTATCCCAATATCCACTGACCGCTCACAATCGCCCCTCTTTGGAATGCCGCCAAATTTCGCGCAGGGTTTATTTACATCCGGGCTTTTGGTGCCTGAACCCCGCTCCATGTAAATTGATCTTATTATTTTCCCATACAAAATGTTGACCCGAAACCTCCATTTTGGAACGAACGTAGTAAACTGTGCCGAGACTGCCAATGCAAGGATTACTATCACACAGATTTTCAGTAAGATATTCTGTGAGATTGTCACGAAAGCACCCTAGATGGAAAGTACTTCCATTATAACACAAGTAAACCGGGATGAGGAACAAATAAATAGCTTCCCTACGTCGGAATCAGGTAAGATTTGTGGCTTTTTACGAACGATCGTCGTATGTTTTCTGCGGGATGTCCATTGCTTTGAATACAGCGCTCGCCGCAGTTGTCCGCACGCACGCCCACAGAATGTCGCTCAAAAATGTAGCGTAAATTGTTATTGAACATCATGCCACATTTAATAGTAAAACATAGTAGATCTAGGCCTATTGTGGATTAAAATCTTTATTGGTTAATTGTGAAATGTGCTATGACATTATAGCTTTGTTGATGAGGAAATATATTGAGAAAGAGCTGGCAAACTGGCGGGCGGGAGCTTTTTTTCAAATTCCGGAAGCCTAGTTCAACTTCAAGCATCGCATGATCGAACAGAAATGTTTACAAACCGGAACAGAACGTCCTCATGAAAACTGATTTTGTGATTAGAAATAAGCAAATAATCTTGGTTAATGTAGACATCAGATTTAAGAGGGCTTCTGTTTATCTCATATTTTCATTTTTTTCTCACAATGAATGCTCATTATTTCTAATAATAATCCTTACATTATTGTAAACAAAGTTGCAAATCTAAATCCTGTGATCATGTGAAGCATGTCAAGCAAGGGTTGTGCCCGCGCACGCACCCGAGTTGTGCCTTGTTTCCATTGACACGCCACTGCACACTGTACAGAGGCGTTGGTGTGCTGGTGAAAATGCCTGAATCTACAAATAGTTCCATGACCTGGGGCTGGACATCGGGCTACATACACAAACCAGTGCCACATGCCATGCTGACTTGATATGATATTTACATGTAGCTAGGCCTAGACCCTCTAGGTCTAGATTTATTGTCCATGTTGTCATATTAACAAATAATATTCTGCAAAATTAATGATAAGATAGATAGAGTCACTTCCTGAATCTAACTAGTTTTTAGTTGACCTACTGTTCAATTAAGATGTCTAATCTAGACATTTAAAATTAAAGTGCTGTCACATATTCAGCTACTCAAGCATGCAATGCATTCTGTCAGTAATTTGTTTAATCAAGGTAAATCAAGGTAGAGATAATATTGTAGGGTCTACAGTACCATACTAACTATGGTACTGGTATTCAAAGTGCATTTACTTGTAGGTCTTGTAGTTTGACACTGATCACTGCACTGGGCATCATTATGCATTTTATGGTACAGTACTTATGAAAATATATATTTGATATCTTACTTACTTTGTTGATATCCTCATTGTGAATAAACTTGAATTGGGGAAATGTACGGATGTTGTCTTTTTTTGTGTGCATACATTTTCACTCCTTGGCAAATTTGATCACATCTTTCATGCCATGTGAGACTGTGAGTTACATTATAGTAAATCAATCTCTATGAATGAGCATCATTTCTAGGAATACATGTAGTACACATGTATGTAGTATTCATGTGATATGATTTTTCTTGTATTCTTTATACTCTTAAGACCAAATTTCTCTCCGAATTATAAATAAGAAGTTGAGAGCAACTATACTTTTTCAAGAAAACAAACAAACTGATTGCTATATTACTTTTAAACATATTTGACTTCTACACATGGATTTTTTTTTCTCCCTTTTGGCATTTATAGAGAATGGCAATTCCAGGCTTTTAAATGAAACACTAGCTGAAATTATACATATTCAATATTTATTGCAATCTATAGTATTTGTACTTAACAAAGTCTATAGTAAACTGTAAAGACTGTAAAGTATTAAAAACTGAACTGAAAATGGATGTTTGCATAAATTTCTACATTTGACCACTTTAGGGTGCTTCATTCTTAGACATGCATGTACATGTACATGTAGAGAATCTTGTCATACACTGTACATGTTACTGTATGTTTACATGTATTATAAATTGCTACATGTACATTGTAGCTGAAGCAGCTGTCAGCAAATACCTTTGGTAACTTTTGGCAACAATACAACATTAAAGTTTGTCTTTGTACAGTGTACCATCGTTTAAAATGAATAGAAATTTAAACTGTAGACCTACAATGTAATTGCCTGCAACAGACGAGCAGGAAATAAATTGAATGTAATCGTCAGGCTAATGATTGTAGAACAAAACGTCAACTCTTTTCTGACATGGGTAATGTTAATGTACAGTCATGTACCATTTAAATATACAGGTGAACCGTGAAAGTTTCTGACATGGGTAATGTTAATGTACAGTCATGTACCATTTAAATATACAGGTGAACCGTGAAAGTTTTAACTGTAGCCAGTGAAAAAAGCCTGCCGACTAAAACTGAAAAATCTAATTACGGTACCCAACACATTGAACTAAACGGTGTAAATGGTTACATGTAGGGTCTTTATTAGACATGTACATGTACATGTACCTGCAATTTGTTATTATTATGCCTGGTCACCCTGTTGTTATGTGAAAGAATTCCAGGAGCTACTTGACTATAAGGCAAGTTTTCTAGGTATTGTTTGTACTTATTACATGTAGTCTCCTAAATGTCACCCTCTCCTCTCACTTTCAAGATACAAGGCCATTTTGAAAAAATATAATCCATGATTATGTGGCTTTTTGGAAGGATTAGTGGTGGCATATTTCATACCGAGTGTTATTAATATGTGGTTAGTTTACTGTACATGTACATGTACATGTAATTGACATTGTTCTTAATCTATGAAAATCACTCTATGTAATAGTTTTCAGGCAAAATATTATTGTTTGTATTCAGTAAACTCAGTATGATATCTAAAAAGAAAGAAAGGAAAACATTGCTCATATGCTAGAACTTTCACAATGGCCTACTGCTCCACATTACACACAATAGGAAATATAAATTAAAGTTGCTTTCATCAACTTTAAATGGGGGGGGGGGGGGGTACATGTACATATATAGGTAATGAGGAGAAAGAAAAAATAAGAAAAGAAGAGAAAACTAACAATATAAATTTCAGATTAAATCAAGATGCTCCATATACTGTACATGTATAATATTCTCTGTCCAAATGCCACTAGTCTATGAAAAGTTCATAGAAATACATGTATCGTTACATGTACTGTACATGTATACCTACACACTGGTCACAGCTGGGAGTGAAGCGCGCCTGTCTGCTTCTAAATTTTGTTCTTTAGTCTAACGTTGTGCTGGCATCATGCAGGGAGCAACAAGAACACATTACTGAAAAGGTTGGTGTTCACACTGCCGTTGTGAAAATTACCTTCAGACCTTGAGATGAAACTTAAAAATTATTTAAATGACATTTGAATTTATGCAGGTATTACAATTTTAAATGTATATGCAGATACAAAAATAAAATGACATTTTATTTAATTAACCTTCAATTCAAGAATACATTGTGAATATCTTGATTACTGTTAAAGTTCAATACATGGGAAGCCTTTATTTTTAAAAGTTTATTTGGAAATTTATAATAACAATAATTGTAATGATTTATAGACCTTTAACCAAAGACCCATACAAGACACGTCTGTCTCTTATAAATATTTCTGCTTCTCGAAGTCCTACTCACAGTAGAGAGTCATGGTAAGCATGTTTGTTTACAATTAAAATGGTAATAGGCTTAATTGCACTGGGAAATGTACAACAGGAAGACGTCTTTATTGAACCTGGAGATTCTCCCTAGTCACTGACCTTCGTTCAGAATACCTGGATGTGAAGCGTTAATTTCTACTCATTATTAAATCTCACATACTGAACTTTAGACTACACTGTCGTCACTCAAACCTGTGTGGAGAGTGAGTGAGTGGTCAGATTAGCACAACCAATGTACGTGTATCTTGGTTACAGTCTCAAATTGATGATTAGCCAGGCTTAATCAAGGATGAAACTTGTCAACACTAATTAATGAATACACTGTACAGTGTACAGTATGTAATGAATTTGATGTACATGTATTCCAATCTTGTACATGCAAGATAGCCTTCATGTACATGTACATGTAGACTGTACCTAACATGCACATGCATTGCTTTCAAAGGGAATTATATTTATAAGAATGATTTGTTTTGTAATCTTGACATGTTCGAACAAGATGAAACAACATGAGAGAATTACCTAAGGAATATCAGTCCCTTGCAAGCATTGAGTCAATAGCAAGCATTGAGTCAATAGCAAAAATAAGTTGTTTTTTAATTTGTGCACCAAAATTAATAAAGGCCTGTACACAAAAGATGAAGTGACAATAATACAAAAATATGATAAACAGTACAACTGTACAATTGTACATGCACTTTGAATTCTCAGATAATCGGGAATGGAAACAGTGAAAGAAAAAAAAAATCATGTACGGTGTACAAATTATTAATTCCCTGGTACATGAATGTACATGTAATATGAGGTGGCATGAATTCCTGTACAGTATACAGTATCATCCAACTCATCCTTGCAGTTGCACAGAGATCTCCCTCATGTCATAACTTGTCAGCCCCCTCTCCGATTACTCATGTGAGGAAGCCGGAAGTTGTCACTTGCCTACAACGTTGCTCTTAACACAGTCTTCTTCTTACACGCTTTTCCCCCCTCTCTCACTTTTTTACATAGCAAGTAATAATCCTTCAAGTTTAATAAGTATATTCCTATTTTGTATTATAGATGAACGGTGCATGTACATGTATGCTGTAGACATACCATGCAAATCCCTTTGGCAGTGATTGGGGGAGGGAGGGTAGGGGAGGGGAGGGGAGGGGAGGGGAGGGGAGGGGAGGGGAGGGGAGGGGAGGGGAGGGGAGGGGAGGGGAGGGGAGGGGAGGGGAGGGGAGGGGAGGGGTAAAAGCGGAGTACCGTATTTGCCGGCGTAAAGGCCGCACCCCCGCATAGGCCGCACCCCCGATTTTGACATTTTGCTGCCGAAAACCCACGCGTGGAAGGAACTTCATTTAACATCGAGGTTCAGTTAAAGGCGCTGATTTGTGCTTGTAAACTTGTCACAAATAATAGTAACAATGTCGTTTTTAGAAGAATGTGTAAGATCATTAATGTGAATTAAAAACAATAAAGTACCTATGGTACCAGTGGTGTACCTTGTGGTAC